CTCCTGGTCATTGGCCCAAAGTCACCCAGCTGGCTTTCATGCCTAAGGTGGGACTAGAACTCACCCTCTCCTGGTGATTGGTCAAAGACACCCTGAGGGCCTTCATGCCTAGGGTAGAACTAGAACTCACCATCTCCTAGTCATTGGCCCAATGTCACCCACCTGGCATTCATGCCTAAGGTGGGATTAGAACTCACCCTCTCCTGGTGATTGGCCCAAAGTCTCCCAGCTGGCTTTCATGCTTAAGATGGGACTAGAACTCACAGGCTCCTGGTGATTGGGCCAGTCACCCAGCTGGCTTTCATCCCTATGGTGGGACTAGAACTCACCCTCTCCTGGTGATTGGCCCAAAGTCTCCCAGCTGCCTTTCATGCCTAAGGTGAGACTAGAACTCACCCACTCCTGGTGATTGGCCCAAAGTCACCCAGCTGGCTTTCATCCCTATGGTGGGACTAGTACTCACTTTCTCCTGATTTCTAGGCCAGCACCTTAACCCCCACACCAAACTGTCTCTTTTAAATGGAAGACGCTACGCATGGAAAACCTCCATGCACTTTATCAGTAACCGATGGCATCCATTCTGTGGATGAGGTCCGAGGCATCACGGCAAACCCCACACGTTTCCCGCCCAAGTCCCAGTTCTTACCCCGGGCAGCTAACTACTGAAAATGAAGATGGATTTTTTTACCTGTCATGTAGCATTTTATATCCTGGGCGTTACTGATCGGATTGTTGTTTTTGAACATGTAAAGGTTGAACGGCATGATGTTGCTGTGGCTGAGACGTTTCCAGATGCCGTGGTTCGGGCTGGTCCACCGGCCGGCTAGAACGTCGTAGTCTCTCTTCCCCATGTGTATGAGTTTGGTGAGGGGATCATACAGGCCTCCGTGGTAACCAATGATAATTTGGAAGTTTGGGTTGGTATCCATGTAGATCTCTCCGTAAGCCGTGTAAAGGATCTGCTTGATCATCAAGCCCGTTCCGCTGAAGACCGCCAAGGGCGTCCCAATGTTGTCGCAAGCGATGTAGAATTCATCTCCGCTGCTCACCTCCATGGCAAAGAGGTGACCCTGAAGGTCGTAATAGAGAGAGGTGATCTCGGAGCTGGAGTGGTTGTACAGGTGGGTGACCTTGGTGGGGTTGGTGAGGTCCGCATAGAAGAACTGCAGATGATGACCGTGGGTGGTTTTGCTGGAGACTCTCCTTCCAAGCCCGTCATAATGGTACTTCACGCTCCATTTGTTGCCTTTGTTGTAGGCCTTGATGAGAAGCCCCGCGGAGTTGTACTCAAAAATGTCGTTCCCCCGTTGCCTCAAGAAGCCATCTTCGTCCATCTTGTACTGCACGTCACCCAGTCTTGTAATCCGGTCCCGGAGGTCGTACCTCAGTGGCGTCAGACGGGCGCTGTTGCCGGGACTCAGCAAATGGAGATTCCCATTGAGGTCATAACTATATCTCCAGAGCGGTTTGTCGTTGATGGACACTGTCTGCAACTGGCCGTCGGCGTCGTATTCGTACGAGTACCTTGTGGTGTTGGCGTAAGGGCCCACTTTCAATTCCTTTTTCACCACTCGCCCCATGTTGTCATACTGCACCGTCATCCAATACATGAGGGACCTGAATATTTCGTACTGAACTTCCTTCATCCTGCCGTACGCATCAAAATGCTTTGTGTGGGTCATGACCGCCGTGGTGATGATCTGGTTGATGTCGTAATAGATCACCCCGAATTTGCCAAATTGCTCGGTTTTGCCCGACACGTCGTCATAACGGTAGAGGTCAATCGGCAACGGGGTTTCGTTGATCACGGCTTGCATGCTGGTCACCCGGAAGCTGTTGTCGTAGTTGTAATCGAAACGGGCGTTCACCATGCCTTCTTCCGTGAAGCGGAAAATCTGGCGGTCAATGAGCGGCCCGATCTGGCGGTACCTGATCGTACAGGTGAACCCTTCGTTCTGCAGGTTGATGGTCTTCAGCATGCCTGCGGTCTCATCGTAGCTGAAGCTGATCTTGGTGGTGTCATAAAGCATCTCTGCCAGTTTGGAGAGCTTGCCGTACTTGTAGATGACCCGTCTTCCGGTCCCCAGGTAATAGGTGTGAAGGAGTTGCCATTCCTCGTTGAAGTCTTCTACCACCGTGGCATTGCCTTCTGGAGGCCTGTAGATATTCCTGTAATAGCCAATTGATCGGAGTGTCTCCAGGGTCTGCCGAGCTACGTTGGGCATCGTAACTGACGACAAGCGGTCATTCTTATCGAATTCGAAAATGTACTGCCGTTGACTGTGAAGAAGCAGGACCATGGACTGTAATCAGAAGAGAAAAATAAAGTCATATGCAGAACATTTTGTCGATGTTATTATTATGGCTAAGTTCTGTAGTGGGATACAGAAAGTGGATTGTTGGTGCTTTGACCAACGTTGTCCAAAGTTACTTGAAACTTCTTGAGGTTGAAAAGTTGCCAGAGAGAACAAGAAGTTTCAAGTCCCAAAAGTGCTTTTTTCAAGAGGCAACTGGCCTTTCTGGTTTTAGTTGGAACATGTTTTGCTTCTCATCCAAGAAGCTTCTTCAGCTCTGACTGGATGGTGGGGAATGGAAGGATTTATGTTCCTTGCAGAGAGCTGGTCATTTGCACCCTTTTAGAGGGTCGTTGAGGCCACTTGGAGGTTTGTCTGTATCCTCAGGGTCATCTGAGTGGTGCAGATGGGTGTGGAGCCTTCTTGGCTGCAGGATGTTTTCTGCCCTGTGTCCTTTCACTGTTGAGGTGACCCTACTTATTCAGGTGACCCTGAGGACACAGATAAACTTCCAAGTGGCCTCAAAGACTCTCTAAAAGAATGCAACTGAAATTCCCTCCCTCCCTATCTAACCTTCCCTCCCACATATCCTTCCTTCCTTCCTTCCTTCCTTCCTTCCTTCCTTCCTTCCTTCCTTCCTTCCTTCCTTCCTTCCTTCCTTCCTCCTTCCCTCCCTTTTCCAGCTTGCAGGTAAGTGGCTGCTGCTGATTGGGGGAGAGACCAAGGGATTGCTAAACTGGCTTGGAAACTGTCACAGAAAGTTGAAAACAGAACTTCATGTAATTGCCGCAGCAGTAGACCAGCAATATTGAAACAGCCAAATTTCATTCCCTAGGGAGTTTTGGACCACATTCAAAGTTATGTATGTAATCTAAGTTAGCCGATTGGAGGTACTTTGGTTCAAAAATGCTTGCCCTACAGTGGGCGCATCATTTCGGCCAATTAAAGACCACGAGAATGCGAGTTTAGGAGTGTAATGGAGCCTGCCTTTATGGTTGTAAGTTATAAAACAGGTTGGTCACATGACCATCCTAAATGCAGGTAATTTCTAACACATGCTACAAACAAAAGAGATGTCACATTACAAGAAGGACAGGGATTACATACAGCTGGTCCTTGACTTACAACCGCAGCTGAGCCCAAAACTTCCAATGCTAAGCAAGATAGTGGTTGAGTGTGCTTTGTCCCATTTTACGACCTTTCCTGCCACAGTTGTTCAGTGGATCACCGCAGCTGTTAAGTTAATTGCTAACCCAATTAAGTGGCTTCCCCTTTGAGTTTGCTCGCCCGAAGGTCGCAAAAGTTGATCACGTGACCCTGGGACACTGCAACCATCAAAAATATGAGCCAGTTGCCCAAAGCCTCTGACTGTTGATCCCGTGACTCTGGGAACGCTACAATTGTAAATGTGAAAAATGATTGTAAGTCGCTTTTGTCTGTTCCGCTGTAACTTTGAACAGTCACTAGATGAGCGGGTGTCAGTCAAGGACTACCTGTAGTTGATAAATGCCATTCAAAGAGGCAGAGACGGTGACTCACAAAGCTTCTGTTGGCTAAAGAGACCGAGTGGAGCAAGTGGCCAGTTTTAAGTTTCTGGGTGTTACCCTAGAAGAGGATCTGACCTGAGGGGCTCATATTGCAGCCCTGGTCAAAAGGGCCCAGCAGAGATGATACTACCTGAGGCTTCTCAGGAAACAACAACTGAATGAAAAACTGCTGGTGATTTTCTACCGCTGCACCATAGAGAGTATCTTAACTTTCTGCACACCTGTGTAGGGTTTGTCAATTGCACAGTGGCAGATAGGAAAGCACTCCAGAGGGTTAATGTCATTGCCCAGAAGATCATGGGTTGCCCTCTCCCCTCTTTGGAAGAGTTTTATAGCTCCCGCTGCCTTAAGAAAGTTCAAAATATTCTCAAAGGTCCATCTCATCCTGGGCATGCCCTTTTTTTTGAACTATTACCATCTGGCAGACGGTACAGGATAATAAAAACAAGGACAACTAGGCTGAAAAACAGCTTCTATCCCAGGGCAGTAGCTCTATTGAATTCTACTGTGTAGTGCAATATTAATGTAATATCCGGAGTTTTCCATTCAATTGTATAGAATGTGAAGGATGTTTGTTTGTATTTTATTTTTATAGTTTTGTTATGTATGATGTACGCTGAAGATGGTGAAGGAAAAGTATAAGAGGTTACTCTTTTATAATAGTGTCTTATGTATTGTTAAGCTAGAATATTCCTTTTGTTACATATTAAAACCCACATCCTAAAACCCCAAAGTGTATTCAGTTAAAAGTACGTGGTGACTTGTTAACAATTGTTTTGGGAAATAGGAACAGCAGCCCAGAGCCAGGCAACAAGTAGATATGTAGGGACATCCGCTCAAGGTAAAATCCAGAAGCAAAACAAGATAAGACATTGATTGCATAAAAGAAAATGTCATGGTCACCCTTTAGCTAATAAGGGGGAGTTGGAAGGGCTTCTTAGGCGTGGCGTGCATTGTGTAGGGGGCATAAATTTGTTGCTTGAATGTGGGATTTTGCGCTTCATGTTCTCAATCCATTTTGGGAAGGGATGTGAAGGCCTGCCTTTGCAAATGCATTTTAATAAACTTCCTTTGTTTGTACACATCAGAACTGTCTGTCGAATTAGTGAGTATAAATTTTGGAACGTTTTTAAATCTCACAATGGCATTTAATTTCGTCGTTATGAGGCGCCGTGACAATGAAGTAAACTAAACTAAAACTTTAGTGACCCCTCTTTCCTAACGGTGCTCACCTTCTCTAAATACGTGAAGGTCCAAGATTTGCCATCCGCAAACATTCTGGATGTAATTCTGCCTGCTTGGTCGTATTCCATTCTTTCGGACATAGTACCCCTTTGGATCCCAGCTATGTGCCCCCCGGAGGAATAGGTGACGTTCACTCCGTTCAGACGACTGCTAGGAGACCAGAGCGTAGGCCGTCCCGCCTGGTCGTAGAGAATGCGCAGGGTGAATTTCCGATGGTCGTCGTAAATCTTCTCGGTTCGTGTCACGCGGTCGAAGTCGAGGGACAACAAATTTCGGTTATGAACCTGCGTAGGGATAAGAATTAGGACAACGACTGAAAGCTTTAGTAAGGTGGGGATAATTAACTACTGGTCAGAACAACCACCTCTTTGGTTTTCCCCTGGGCAAATGGCAAAGAGGGTTTTTGCTTATTTGCAAAAAAACTCTTATATGAGATCCCAAAGGTGCTTTTTCAAGAGGCAGCTGGACTTTCTGTTTTTTTCTTTGAAGACGTTTCTATTCTCATCCAAGAAGCTTCTTCAGCTCTGACTGAGTGGTGGGGAACGGAAGGATTTATATCCTTGCAACAGTTTGCTGTTGCTCATTTCAACAGCGCCAAGAAGGCTGGTCATTTGCAGTCTTTTAGGGAGTCGTTGAGGCCGCTTGGAGGTTTATCTGTGTCTTCGGGGTCACTCTGAGTGGTGCAAACGGGTGTGGAGCCTTCTTGGTTGAAGGATGTTTTCAGTGTCTCTCATCCTGCAGCCAAGAGGGCTCCACATCCATTTGGCCTCCCGACGATCAGCTGTTTCAGGCTGCAGAGATCGCCATTGCCTATTGCCACCTCTGTGCGCCCCATTTTTGGCCTCCGCACGTCCCATTTTCTACCCATTTTGATGCCTGCTGCCCGGAACGGGACCAAAATGGGGTGCGCAGAGGCCAAAAATGGGGCGTGTGGAGGCTGAAAACGGGAGGCGGAGGCCAAAAATTCGGCACGCGGAGGCCAAAAACGGGGCACGGAGGCTGAAAACGGGATGCAGAGGCCAAAAATGAGGCACATGGAGGCTGCAATAGACGATGGTGATCCCTGTAGCCTGAAACAGCTGATCGTCGGGAGGCTGATCCAACCAACGATCGGCTGCTTGTGCTAATCAGGCTGTGTTGAAGCTGAAACAGGCTGTTTGCTGCAAGGAAGCAAATTGTTGGGAGGCAGAGGTAGATTTCCCCGTCCCCTTTTTTTTTGCTTCCCCCAAAGCTAGGTGTGTCTTATACTTTGGAGTGTCTTATACTCCGAAAAATACGGTAACCCTTTCCACCTCGGTGACCGGAAGAACTTCAATTCCCACCAGTTCTGACTGGGAACGGCCCGCTTACCCTCAGCCTGCGTCCGAACACAGTGATCTGGCCTCTGGATTGTTCTTTCCGTTGTCTCCACTCTACCAGGTTGAGACCGTTGTCGATAGGCAGGGTCACGTTCCTCTTACCCACGGTGGGGTTTACGGTGCCCGCCAGGAGATGGGGCTCGGTCTGGAGAGCCACTTCCATGCCATTAGCCAACATCAGGCGGAGAGAGCCATCTGCTCCGATGTAGTAGCTATTGCGCACTTGATCTACACAAGGTTGTGGGGAGATGAGAAACCCGACAACGTTAAGATAGGCAGCCGACCCTCCGCAGCTCACCTTAGTTATGCAAAAGAAACATGAAGCAAAGCAGATGAGAAATTTGAGCACCTTAATTATCAGGGTTCAGAGTGATTTACCAATAAAGGGGAGTATTTGTAGCTCAGGGTTGAAGTGAGGCATCCCCTTGGTGTTCTCTGAGCTGGCTTGCTTTCTTTCTTACCCAACTAGGTAACAATATCAGTGCTAGAAGGGAGGAGGGTTTGAGGAATGGAGAACAGTGGAGGAGGGAGGAGGAGGAGGAGGAGGAGAACTGTGGGTTTCTTGGTGCTCTCTGAGCCGGCTTGTTTCCTTGTAGACATTTCATTACCCAACTAGGTAACAATATCGGTGCTAGAAGGGGGGAGGGTTTGTGGAATGGAGAACAGAGGAGGAGGGAGGAGGAGGAGGAGGAGGAGGAGGAGAACTGTGGGTTCCTTGGTACTCTCTGAGCTTGGTTGTTTTCTTGCAGACATTTCATTACCCAACTAGGTAACATCACCAGTGCTAGCGTTATCACGTCATCCCTAGCACTGATCATGTTACCTAGTTGGGTAATGAAACGTCTGCAAGAAAACAACCAAGCTCTTCTCCTTCTTCTTCCTCCTCCTCCTGCTCCTCCCTCCACAAACACTGCTCCTTTCTAGCACTGATGATGTTACCTAGTTGGGTAATGAAACGTCTGCAAGAAAACAACCAAGCTCAGAGAGCACCAGGGACCCCTCAGTGGTTAACCAGTTCAACAGAATACTGGCTTTCAAACCTTTCTCCCCCCACCCCACCCCCAAAAAGATCCGTTCTGATTTCCACCCCCAAATAATTTCCTTGAATGAGCCGCAGGCCCAGTGCTAATTGGGAGGGGCCATATCAGTGGCTCCAAATTTCACCCATTAAATTTTGTCCAAATTTTTCTGATCCATCAAATCGAGTCCATTACCAGTAATCCTTGACATACGACCACCACTGCGCCCCAAGTTTCCATGGCTGAGCGAGGCAGCCCTTAAATGAGTTTTGCCCCATTTTACGACCTGTTAAAGGAAATCGCTGCAGTTCTTAAGTGAGTAACCCGGCTGTTAAGTGAATCCGTTGACTTTGCTTGTCAGAAGGTCGCCAAAGGGGATCATACGACCCCAGGACACTGCAACCGTCATAAGGGTGAATCAATTGCCAAGCGCCTGAATTTTGATCTTGTGACCATGGGGATGCTGTAAGGGTGGTAACTGTGAAAAACAGTCGTAAGTCATTGTTTTTCTGTGTCATTGTAGCTTTGGTCACCCAACAAAAGGTTGTAAGTTGAGGACTACTATCTATATCCACTGGCTTGGTGATCACCTCACGACTCCTGGAGCGGCCCCTGATCTGAAAAGCTGGGAGCAACTGACTTATTGAGATGCTCGATTGGAAGACAATTATTATAGACTTTTACTTAGCTCTGGCCCTTTAAATCTTGGCCTATTCAAAAAGACTCCCCTCCCAAGAGTCCCAAAAGTGCCTTCTGTTGCTTAATTAGACTCCTGAGGTGGAGCCGAATTTTCCTTCCAGCATTAATCTGGCATTTAAATTTTTCTAAAATGGCTGAATCCTGTTAGGCGGGAAGGTGCTCCTCTCCGTTACAAAGCCGAAGAAGAGCCAGCGCTGTCCGAAGACGTCTCCGTGGTCATGTGACTGGCATGACTAAACGCCGAAGGTGCACAGAACGCTGTTCCCTTCCCACCAAAGGGGGCGCCTATTTTTCTACTTGCACTTTTTACGTGCTTTTGAACTGCCAGGTTGGCAGAAGCTGGGACAAGGAACGGGAGCTCGCTCCGTTATGTGGCGCTGGGGATTCAAACCACCGAACTGCTGACCTTTTCTGATTGACAAGCTCAGCGTCTGAGCCATTGACCCACTGAGCCACTTTCTCTCTCTCACACACACACACATATAATGTGTATTGCCATTACGTTTATTTTCCTTATTCTTCCACCATTTATTTTATTTATTAACTTTTTTTTAGTTGTAACTTTATCATTTTTATAAATAACTCCAGGTGACAAATGCTCAACATCCTCCTTCCTTCTCTTATTTTCCTCGCTACGGCAACTCTATGAGGTGGATTGGGACGAGGGAGAGAGTGACTGGCCCAAAGTCACCCAGCTGACTTTCCTATGTAAAGTGGGACTAGAACTCACCCTCTCCTGGTAAATGGCCCAAAGTCACCCGGCAGGGTTTCATACCTAAGGCAGAACTAGAACTCACTGTCTCCTGGTGATTAGCCCAAAGTCACCCAACTGACTCTCCTGCCTAAGGGTGGGGTTACAACTCACTCTCTCCTGATAACTGGCTCAAAATCACCTACCCGTCTTGCATGCCTAAGATGGGACTAGAACTCACGTCTCCTAGTGACGGGCCCGAAGTCCTTCCCTTTCAGAATCGTCATACAATGATTAGATTTAACAAACCCAGAATTAACCTTCAATGTTAGGGTCTTCTATTTATACCTTCCTTTGAAGAACGACTTTATCCAGCTTTTTCCCCTAAGGCAGAGGTCCCCGATCCCCGGGGCCACGGATCACTACTTTGAGGTGAACCTTTTGCAGGGGGGCTGAATGTCAGCCTCTCCCAAGACGTCTTCCTGACATCTTTTATGGTTTGACTCTTTGCCGGATGCCATGGAAACCGGGGACGGGGACGAATAATTGGGCTTTGTGGGGGGAAGGATGCTGGAATGAACTGCAGAAGATGGACGCTTTCTTGCTTTCTGCGCAACGGCATCTTTTCTAGGCCAAGGTCAACCGTCTTGGCATACCAGGTGTGTGAGACGCCACCTGAAGATGACATTATACACACCTCAGATTGGATGTCCACTTTGGGGTTACGGGACTTGGGATAACTTTCAATATGTAATTTCCGCGCCGATTTGCCTCAGGACTTACTTTCCTTTTGTTGCTATCCCTTCAAATCCAGTAAATGTGCTTTTCTCTATTTTAATGGAGTCTTAAGGTTTTCTTTCTTGGATTTTGAATGGAGGCACAGCTGACACATTTGGAGTTGGGCCACGGAAGCGGCGGTTGAAACTTCCCCCTCGCATCCTCACTTATGAGCGAGCCTGTGTGTGCTATTCGTGCAAATAGAGTTGCGTGCACGCACATTTGCCGGCCGCTCGTGTGAAACCATCCTCTATCTCCCTCCCTCTCCCCCCCCCCCGGCCAGTCGGCAAAGCCGGAAACTTTGGGGAACTCTGCTCCGAGGATGTCGTACCCCAGTTCAATTAAGGAAAACTTTAAAAAGGACTTCCAGGAGGAAGCTGTCGAAACGGGCTGGGTTTACCTTGCAGGAGGGTGTAGTAGGCCCCTGACGCTGAAAGGTTGGTGGTGATCGTGACGTCGTCCTTGCTGGAGGTCTCAATCTGGACGTGGATGGAGCTGTCCGTATCGCTCCGGAAAGTGGTGACTTGACCGGTTGGGAAAGTGATGTTAGTGAGGTGTCCAAAGCTGTCATACCTGGAAAAGAAAAGAGACATATGCACAGAAATTAAAGTGCAAGAACGGAGAGGGATAAACCGAGGGGAATCTCCTAGGCCAGTGATGGTGGACCTTTTAGACACCGAGTGCCCAAAGTGCGTGTGCATTCATGCCCAAACTGGTTCCTGCCCCGCCTGCGCCTGTACTCCAGCGCAGGCGCTGCAGAGACCCAAATCGGAACTTCTGTTTTCCTGCAAACAACGAAAAGAAGCGCCACAGAGAAACACGGTAGAGCTGAGCTGGGGCGATGGGAGCGCCATCACTTGAGACTTTCAAGAAGAGATTGGACTGCCATTTGTCAGAAATAGTGTAGGGTCTCCCGCTTGGGTGGGGGGTTGGAATAGATGATCTACAAGGTCCCTTCCAACTCTGATTATCTGTTATCTATGCTCACAGAGAGGGCTTTGCGTGCTACCATTGGCACTCATGCCACAGATTCGCCACCACTGTCCCAGGCCAAAGCATCAGATCTTTGGTCAAGGCAGCAGGACAACCCACTGATTTTTAAAAAAGAGGTTCACTCTTGTTATGAACCATTTTGACATTTTTAAGACTTGTTGGGGGGAACAAGTTGTGCCATTTAGGGGGAGGCATTTCACCTCTGTTGTGTGCCTGTGGCTTCCTTTGGTGGAGAAGGTTGCGCAGCTCACTGTTACTCAGCGCTAGGGATTCAAACTGCCGAACCGCCAACCTTTCTGATTGACAAGTTCAGCGTCTTACCCGCTGAGACACTGCGTCCAAATACTCACTCGTAAAATGTGGTCCACCCGTTTTCGTTGCTCTTGGTAGCTAGGAGTCCCGAGTTGCCATGATAGGTCATCATGGCTACCTCTTGGCCCTGCGCAGTCACACTCTTGAGGGCGCTGTTGGTGCCCATCGTGAGCCAATAAACCTGGCCATCTGGCACCACCAGCCACAGTGGCATCCCGGTCGAATCTCTCCGGATATTCACCAAATTTCCATTGTTGTCAGTCACGAGGGCGATGTCCCCGTCGCCCGTGTAGGTGAAATTGTACAGGTAATCTCCAGTCGGGAGGCTCTGGGTGAAAACGTGCTTGCCACTGGCGTCAAACAGGTAGAGTTCCTGATCGATGGGCGAGGATAATTCGTACAGGTTCTGGGTGTTCAGAAAAGGTTTGTTCTTCCGGATAAAACGGATCCGGATGTTCCCAAGATCGGCCATGTACAACTCCCCGTCTGCGCATACCGCGAGGGAGGAAGGCGCATTCAGCTTGGCGTCCTTGGCGTAGCCATCGTCCCCGGAAAAGCAATCGCAGTTGGCGTCGTTCTTACAATCGCAGCCGTTGGGGGCTCCGGCGACCAGCGAAATCTCGCCGTTTGTAGTGACCTGTCGTATCCGGTTGATCTTCTTCTCATCGGTCTCCGCGATGTATAGGACGCCACTGTGCGAGACCGCCACCGCCGTGGCGGATTCCAAGGTGGCGTGGATGGCTACCTTGCTCAGGAGGAAGTGGTCGATCCCTGGGACTTGGCAGTGCATTGGCCGGCCCGCCACGATGCGCACCTGGTGGTTTTCGGAGATCTGCAACACGACGTTGTTGTCGAGAACGTAGAGGGAATTGTCCATTGGGTTGACGGCCAGATCGGTGGGCCACTCCAAACGAACCTTTGCAAAATGAAAGGAAGAAAAGCGATGGGGTGAGATTGTTTCATTATTTTTCAGTTCCTGGTAGTCCTCGATTTACAACCTTAATCGGGACCAGAATATGCTAAGCAAGGTTGCGAAGTGGGTTGCGCTCTGGATGTAATTCCGCCAGGGGTGGGCTTCAAAAATTTTAGCAACGGGTTTTCTGTCCAGTTGCTGGGTGGGCATGGCCAAGGTGGGCGTGGCCTAGTCGACCTCCTGCACCACAGCAGGAGGGACATTTTTGCCTTCCCCGGGCTCCGGAGGCTTTCCTCGAGCCTCTGGGAGGGTAAAAACTGTCTCCCTGGGCTTCGGAGTCTCTCCGGAAACTGGAAATAGGCCCGTTTCAGGCCTTCCTAAACTTCTGGGAGGCCCGTTTTTCACTCTCCCTGAACCTCAGTGCGCACCCTGCACTTACCTGCATCCAAAATGGGCCACGGGGTCACTCCTGGGAGTGGCGGGGAGCGGCCAGCCAGGAGTGGGATTTGGAGGTTCTCCAAACTGTGCAGAATCTTAGCTAGGGTTTCCCCCAAACCCTTGCAAAACCCCAGTAGGCCCACCCCTGAATTCTGCCCGCTTGGTCGTATTCCATTCTTTCTTTGGATCCTAGCTATATGCCCCGCTGACCCAGATACTGCTGGGAGACCAGAGCATAGGCCGGCCCACCTGGTCGTAGAGAATGTGCAGATTGAATTTCTTTCTTTCTTTCTTTCTTTCTTTCTTTCTTTCTTTCTTTCTTTCTTCCTTCCTTCCTTCCTTCCTTCCTTCCTTCCTTCCTTCCTTCCTTCCCTCCCCTTTCTCTCTTTCCTTTCCTTTCCCTTTCCCTTCTCCCCTTCCCTCTGCTTCCCTTCCTTTTCCCTTCAATCGCAATGACTTTTTTCCAGTCGCAAGTAAGTTTGTAACTTGAGGAGTACTTATAATGTAATATAATTTAATGTAATGCAATGCAATATAACATAACATTATTGTGCAATGTAATGTAATATTAGGTTAATGTTATGACCATGGAGATTCTCAATCATCCAGGTCATAGTTGTCCCAAAGGTGCTTTTTCAAGAGGCAACTGGGAAAAAAGTATATATTTATTCTATTCCTATTCCATTCCATTCTATTCTATATTCTATTCTATTAATATTTCATATTATTATATAATACTATATATTGAACATATATGATACAAGATATGATATCTAATCTAACCTAATTTAAACTGTTAATATATAATGTAATGTAATACAATACCATGTAATGCAATACAATAATGCAATGTAATGCAATATAGGATACTATAATGTAATATATCATCTATGTTAAATTTCCAAGAGGATTTGCTGATAACCTTTGAAATTTAGTCGCTGGCTGCTGGAAGAAACTCTGAATGAAAAGAAAAAAAAATTCCTGGGATTTGATGATAATGTACTGAGCCACTATGGGATTTTTGCTCAAGGTCACGTCATTATTTGGACAAAGACAAAATGTTCTCTGTTCTTAATCATGTTTTCATGATTAATGAAATCAGCATTTTTAGTAAAAAAAAAAAAAAAAAGCCCAAAACCTTCCCAAAGGACTGGTGGGGGTAGACTTCATAATTTGTAAGATATTCTGAATAAACAGAATTAACAGAGTTTGGAAGGGACCTTGGAGGTCTTCTAGTCCAACCCCTGTAAAAGGCTCAGCTAAGTTCTGTGGCATTGATCGATTGACTTATGGGTTGATTGACTGATGTCAAGTCAGTGTCATTTCTTAAGTGACCACCGAGGTAACCTTTCACCAAGAAAGGAGAAAAAAGGCTTAGGTAAAACAATATTCTGAATAAACACAATTAACAGAGTTGGAAGGGACCTTGGAGGTCCTCTACTCCAACCCTTATACCAATTCAAATAAATGTTTGTCCAATCTCTTCTTTAAAACCTCCAGTGATGGAACATCCTCAACTTCTGGAGGCAAGTTGTTCCACTGATTAATTTCCCCACAGTCAGTAAATTCCTCCTTAATTCCAGGTGGCTTCTCTCCTTGATAAATTTCCACCTGTTGCTTCTTGTCCTGCCTTCTGGTGCTTTGGAGAATAGCTTGACTCCCTCTTCTTTGGGGCAGCCCCTCAGAGGCTGAAACTCTGCTATCATGTCACCCCTAGTCCTTCTTTTCATTAAACCAGGCCTAACCCAATTCTAGCAACTGTTCTTCGTATGTTTTAGTCCCCAGGCCCCTAATCATCTTTGTGGCTCTTCTCTGCACTCTTTCTGCAACCTGGTGGGGGTTTTGTGTGTGTGTGTGTGTGTGTGTGTGTGTGTGTGTGTGTGTGTGTGGAGGACATTATTTGAAAGCAGGAAAAGGGGATAATTGGATCAAACAGTTTAAGGACCACTGCTCTAAAGTTATCCTGTCCGGATATTCTATCTTTGGCCAGAAAGAAGAAGGGGGGTTAACCTATTGTCCGAAGCACCAGAAGGCAGATCAAGAAGCAAAGAAAAGAAACTGATCAAGGAGAGAAGCAACCTAGAACTAAGGAGAAATCTTCTAACCGCTAGAACGATCAATCGGTGGAACGACTTCCTTCCAGAAATTGTGGGTGCTCCACAGGGGTGGGATTTCAAAATTTTAGCAACCGGTTCTTTGCCCAGTTGCTGGGTGGGCGTGGTCATGGCCTAGTCGGCCTCTTGCAACATGGCGGGGGTGGTGGTGGCATTTTCACCCTCCCCGGGCTTGCTCTGGAGGCCCTCCCAAGGCCAGAAATGGGCCTGTTTCTAGACTTCTGGAAGGCCTGTTTTTTTTTCCCCAGGCTCCAGAGGCTTTTTCCGAGCCTCCGGGAGGGTGAAAACGGCTTCCCCCTGGCTCCGGAGGCTCTCCAGAGGCTGAAATGGGCCCATTTCTAGCCTTCCGGAACTTCCAAGATGGCTGTTTTTCGACCTCCTCGGGCTCCAGAGGCTTTCCTCAAACCTCCGGGAGGGCAAAAACTATCTTCCCCAGGCTCTGGAGGCTCTCTAGAGGCTGGAAACAGGCCCATTTCCAGCCTTCCGGAACTTCTGGGAGGCCTGTTTTTCACCCTTCCCAGACTCCAGAGGTTTTCTTCGAGCTTCCAGGAGGGCGAAAACGGCCTCTCCCAGGCTCCAGAGGCCAAAAATGGGCCCATTTCTGGCCTTCTGAGTCTCTGGAAGGCCCATTTTTTGCCCTTCCCAAGCCTCCACGTGGGCCCTGTACTGACCTAGGATCCAAAATGCTCGCGTGGGGACTCCTGGGAGGGGTGGGGCAGAGCCAGCAGGTCATCAGAACTACCAGTTCCGTAAACCAGATGTAAAATTATCATCCAGTTCACTCAAACTGGTCCAAACTGGCTGAATCCCACCCCTGGTGCTCCACACCTGGAGGTTTTTAAGACGAGATTGGGCAGCCATTTTGTCTGGAATGGTATAGGGTTATCTGCTTGAGCAGGGGGTTGGACTAGAAGACCTCCAAGGTCCCTCCCAACTCTGTTATACCTACAAAGGAACATCTGGCGTGTGACCTCATCCATAGTCTTGGTCCTGAGCCAACTAGATGAGGATTTCCCCTTTAACCAGCCAATTAAACAAAAGCCAAGTAATGTACAGATGAAGTCTCCTTTGAATCAAACTCAGCTCCTGGGTCTTCATGAAGATACCCGTGCAGTTTCCTTGGCAACAACACATCGCTGGCCTTTTTCTGGGATGGCTTTCAATTTCCTTCACCTTGAAAGTCAAATACTTTTGGGGAGGGGAAGAAAACCCCTTCCTCTTTCTGTTCGCCCCCATGACATCATCCTGTCAAGATATTCCTTTGGGTGGGGATTTAAATCCAATCAAAATGTGTTTCTGGCTTTTGTTTCTTTCGCTTCTGGCTCTGCAACTCCTACCTTCCAAGAAGAGCAATTACTAATTAACCCCATTCTTCCATTTGGGGCGATTCTACATTTTAGCCAATGGAAAGTGAATGCCCTACACACCAGGAACACGTACCCTCTTCTCTTGATCTTTCTAAAGACGCTCAGGAGCTGTTGAAGGCTTAAAAAGATACATTACAAATTGCTCCTTTCCTGGAAGCCTTAATGGGTCCCAGTGAATCAAGAGTACTGAGGGAAGTGAATTATTTCTTGCTCAGGGTTGAACTGTGTGGTTCTTGGGGCTCTCTGAGCTTGGGGGTTTTTTCATGCAGAGGTTTCATTACCAAATAGTGCCCTGATGATGTTACCTAGTTTGGTAATGAGGTCTTGTGAGGTGGATTGGGCTGAGAGAGGGTGACTGGCTCAAAGTTACCCAGCTGGCTTTCATGGCTAACTTTGAACTAGAATTCACCGTCTCCTAATGTGTGGTCCAAAGTAACCGAGGTGGCTATTACGCCTAAGACAGGACTAGAACTCACTATCTCCTGGTCATTAGCCCAAAGTCATCCAGCTGGTTTTCATGGTTAATAGGGAACTAGAATTCACCATCTCCTGCTAAGTGGCCCAAAGTCACCCAGTTGACTATCATGCCTAAAGGTGGGACTAGAACTCCCCATCTCACAGGGATTGGTCCAGAGTCACCCAGTTGGCTATCATGGGACCCAAAGTCACCTAGCCAACTTTCATGCCTAAGGGGGAACTTGAACTCAAGATCTTCCATTTTCTATGCTACTGCTTTAAGCTTTACGCCAAGCTAGCTCTCCTTTAATGTTATAATGTTTAAGAAACTAAAATAAAATAATAAAAACAAAACGTAGCTTAACCGTATTTCTGCAAGCCTTTTCTTTTCCTCTTCATGACCCTGTAATCCCTTGCATTGGGATGGAGTCAGAGGTGACTGAATGGAGCTGTGCATTTACTGGCCGATTCCCTTCCTGACGCCTACGTGGAGCTCACAGCAAATATTTTCTCTTTGCGCCCAGAGAGAGAAATATCCGCCTCTGCCTAGGATCAAAATCGGAGCCTCTTGATTTTGCAGCCCACCGTATTCTGTTAAGCCTATCTTAGAAAATTTCAGAGTGACCCCAGAAGAGACATTAAAAAAAAAAAATCCTGCATCCAAGTTTGCATCAGCCGTCTCTTGGCTGAACGGCAAAGCTGCATGCGCCGATGCAGAATTAGCCATTCTTTGCTTCAAAGTCTGCAAAGCAAGTGACCTTCGTAGCCCTGTCATTTTTATCGAGCTCGTAAATGGCAGGCAGTGGGGAAGCCAAGCAATCTTTTCAAATTAGAGGAAGAAAGAACCAGAGAAGAATAAAGGCCAGGTGGACAAGAGCGAATTATACGGGTGGTTAAAAAATGGAAGGCTCCCCATTGGGTTCTATTGTGCCTATGGAACAGCATTCAAGAGAACCAGCCAATCACCGTTTTTAGCAGAACAAAGAACATTTCATCGAACGATTTCAATAATAAGGTCAGGCATATTTGTATTTAGAAGTCGTGGCTTCAGAATGGTATCCCAATTGGATATAATGCCTGTCCTCAATTCCTAAACTTTAGGCAACCTCAGGTATGTCTGTCTCAGCCTGGAAATTCAGTTTTTAAATATAAATATAAATATATATATGTGTGTGTTTTAAAAAGCAGTCTTCAACAGCGGGAGTTTAAAAAGCTCAGCGTGACAGCACTCGCTCGCAATCCATTTGCAATCGAATGCAATTCAAAATCCGCCATTTTCCTGCTGTTGATAATTCGGGCAACCATTTGCGAGATATTGGATTGAACCGGTTCCCCCAAATCCACGGCGTCTTCGATGTAAAGCAAAATTGCATTCATTGTGAGCCCATGAACTGCACCAGTAAATAAAACTGAGGGGGGAACAGAACTGGAACATGTGACGATATATACTTATAATATATCCACATTTGAATTTATATTTTAGAATGTAATAGAATTCTTCATTGGCCAAGTGTGATTGGACACACAAGGAATTTGTCTCTGGTACGTAACCTCTCAGTGTACATGCAAAAACAAGAAAGTGATAAGCTATAGATTATGTATGTTTATATGATTATATGTTAACTATAAATGATATTTAACAAGAATAACAGAGTTGGAAGGGACCTTGGAGGTCTTCAAGTCCAACCCCAAAAACTTCCAATGTTGGAGCATTCACGATTTCTGGAGGCAAGTTGTTTCACTTATTAATTGTTCTAACTGTCAGGAAATTCTTGCTTAGTTCTAGGTTGCTTCTCTCCTTGATTAATTTCCACCTATTGCTTCTTGTCCTGCCTTCAGGGGCTTTGGAGAATAGCTTGACTCTCTCTTCTTTGTGGCAGCCCCTCAAATATTGGAACATGGTTTATATTTATAAGAATAATAATAAATCCATGGTTATAATAACACCGTAGTTGGAATACTGCATCCAGTTTCAGTCACCAGGTATAAAGAGATGTTGAAATCTTAGAAAGAGTGCAGACATAAACAACAAAGGTGATTAGGATAAAACGCATGATGAATGGCTTAAGGGAACTACGGATGTGTAGTCTAACAAAGAGAAGGCTTAGAGGAGACTTCATAACTTCTTCTAATATTTGAGGGGCTGCCGCAAAGAAGAGGGGGTCAATCTATTTTCCAAAGCACCTGAAGGCAGGACAAAGACGCAACAGATGGAAACTAACTTAAGGAGAGAAACAACCTAGAAATAAAGGAGAAATTTACTGACAGTGAGAACGATTAATTAGTGGAATTGGCTTATCTTGAGAAGTTGTGGCTGCTCCATCACTGGAAGTTTTTAAGAAGAGACCGGACGGCCGTTTGTTTGGAATGGTAGGGTCTCCTGCTTGAGAAGGAGGCTGGACTAGAAGACCTCCAAGGTCCCTTTCCTTTAAATGCTTTTAGCGAATCTGGCTTTCCCATTGAGTTTGCTCGTCAAAAATGCGAGGACTGGTCATAAGTCACTGTTACTTTGAACAGTCAGTAAATGGATGGCTGTGAGTTGAGGACCTGATCTATCAAAGGTATTGTGTATTCCAAAAGATAATGTTGGCTTAGATGCGACCAGGAGAACAAGATATCCCAAATCTTGAAAGAACATGTCAGATAATGCCAGGAATCCAAGGAAAAATCAAGGCATCTAAAGATTTATGCAGAGAAAGTTTATAGGGAGAAGTACCAGACAGAATGTCACTTTTTCAAAAGGCACCTGGATTTTGTTTTTCCTTGAAGACGTTTCACTTCTGATCCAAGAGGCTTCTTCAGTTCTGACTGAAGCTTCTTGGACAAGAAGCGAAATGTCTTCATGGAAAGACAAAGCAAGCCCCGTTGTCTTTTTTTAAAAAGCACCCTAGGGACAACCATGACAAAGTAGGCAACAACCTACCTCTGGGTAAGCTAGAGAAATGTGGAATAGATAGCATCACCACCAGATGGACTCACAACTGGCTGACAAACCGTACTCAACGAGTAGTCCTTAATGGGGCTAAGTCTTCATGGAGGGAAGTAAGCAGTGGGGTGCCACAAGGTTCTGTCTTAGGCCCAGCACTCTTCAATATCTTCATTAACGACTTAGATGAGGGAATAGAAGGGGAACTTACCAAATTTGCAGATAATACTAAGCTGGCAGGAATAGCCAACACCCAAAAAGATAGGCTCAAGATCCAGATGGATCTTGACAGACTAGAACACTGGGTGGTATCTAACAAAATAAAATTCGATGTAGAGAAAAGTAAAGTCTTACACTTAGGCAAGAAAAACCAAAAGTGCACATACAGACTGGGTGAAACCAGGCTCAATAGCAGTAACTGTGAGAGGGATTTTGGAGTCTCAGTGGACAACCAGATAAATAGAGCCAGCAGTGTGCAGCAGCAGCCAAAAAAGCTAATGCAATCCTAAATTGCATTAACAGAGGGAAACAATTGAGATCAAGGGAGGTACTAATACCACTCTATAAAGCCTCAGTAAGACCACACCTAGAGTACTGTATCCAGTTTTGGTTATGACATTATAAAAAAGTTGTTGAGACTCTAGAAAGAGTGCAGAGAAGAGCAACCAGGAGGATTAGGGGACTGGAGGCTAAAATATATGATGAATGGTTGCGGGAACTGGGCCTGGCTAGACCAGGGGAGACATGATAGGAGTCTTCCAATATTTGAGGGGCTGCCATAGAAGGGAAGGGGTCAAGCTATTTTCTAAAGCGCCTGTAGGCCAGACAAGGAATAATGGGTGGAAACTGAACATGGAGAGATTTAACCTGGAAATAAGGAGAAACTTTCTGACAGTGAGAATAATCAACCAATGGAACAGAAATTGCTTTCGGAAGTTGTGGGAGTGCCATCAATCGAGACTTTCAAGAAGAGATTGGACTGCCATCTGTCAGAAATGATGTAGGGTCTCCCGCTTGGGCGGGGGGGGGGGTTGGACTAGATGACCTACAAGGTCCCTTCCAACTGAGTATCTGTTATCTGTAATGGATAATGGAGAATCTCCACAGACATGTACCAAGTAGTAGCAAATATAATTCAAGGAAAAGAGACATTTCCACCATGAGAAGGAATACAGAAGGGGAAAAGGAGGATACAGAGAAAAAAGGTTACCACGAAACACCTATACCTACTTGAGAGATATCCATGACTGAGTCACAGCTCAGCGGTCTGGTGGACGTCAGGTCATTAGAACCAAGGACCGTTGAGATTATTCCATTTTGGTCCACACGTCGGATCATTGTACCGTCCACAAAATAAATAAACCCAAACTTGTCCACCGTGATGCCTGTGACAAGGAAACAAACTCAAGTTAACAACTTAGCCAAGCAATGCCTGGACATTAAAACTATTCGTTTTGTTGGGTCCTTGGTGCTCCCTGAATGTGGCTGTTTTCCTGCAGACGTTTCATAACCCAACTAAATAACATCATCGGTGTAGCAGGGAGTAGGGTTCGCTCTCTGGTTATATACTACCGGTTTGTCCTTTCAGTGTTGGCAGGAGTGTTTTTGATGGTTCCTTGATTGGCTTGTTGTTTACTGTTTGTTTGTTAAATGATACCCGATTAAGGAGCTACTAACTTCAATAAAGACTAACGAACTCAAGCAAATCAGAATTCTGAGGCTAAGCTCTGCCTTTAAGAACTCTTTTATTGGGTACATCATATCGGTACAATCACATGGAAAAGCTACTCTAAAGGTTTCCCGTGGTTTCAGTATAATTAAAATAGGAAATAACTCCCTCCCCAAAAGTCAAAGGTTACGTTGGCCAATTAGGTTAATTGGCGGGCTCTCCAGGCACTCCTCCCCATTTCTATCCACCACTTGTACAGATGACCTTGGTTCTCAGGAGACAGTTCTGTGTTTTGTCTAGTATTTCATCCTCCTTTCCCCCCCACTCCCCACTCCGGGTGGCAATTGAGGAATAGAAAAACGGCTTATGCCAGGTTTGATTCAAAGTTGACGGTAAGCTGTTCGTAATCAGGGAGCAACTGCAGTAAGTGGTCATTGTTACTTAACTGTCTCATTCTAAAAAAAGGAGAATGCCAGGGTTCCGACGAATCGGATGCCCTAATTAATTCATGAGCCAAATTTCAAAAGAAATCCAACTATTTATTAGGTGCAACATGTTGGCACTTTCCCAAATGCAGTTGGCTCTGCCCCACATAATTTACTGGCCACCTATGACCCTATTTCTCCTCTCCTCCCAAGGTGTGTCATAAATCACATTCTCCAATGGAGCATTTTTTGCGGGCTGCAGAAAACAGGCCTCTCCGGTGTCTTTTCTAGTAACCTGAGGTACAATCTGGAGAAAGATATGTGTGGAATGTGCTTCTGGTCATAGCAACCGAGCTTCTCTATCAATTCTTCCTCCCCCAGCCCCGCCTATGGCAGGCCAGGAATTCTTTACGAGTTGACAGAGAATATTTGTAAGTCATGGGGTTCGCATGGTGACGTCATGGCACATATGGCACACCCCTCATCGATGCTCATGGAGAAGACGTCCTTAAGAACCATTGTAACTTCAAATGGTCACTAAATGAATAGTTGTAAGTCGAGGATTACTTGTACTAAAACAGTCCTGTCAGGGCTCTCAGACTTGGCTAGCTGTCAGGGTTCCGGTAATTACCCCCATTTAAATCATAAGTCTCTAGCCGGATTTTCAAAACTTGAAGATTTATTAGGAGTAACCATGCCGACGCTGCCTGGGTGTAGCCAACTCTGAGGCACATAATTCACTGTCACCCTTGACTCTGGTTTTCCCTCCAGCCCTCTGGGTGTATCGTAATCCATATTCTCCAATGGAACACCTCCATAGCCCAGAGTCATCCATCAGGCTTTCCAGTTAGAATTTTGCGAGGCAGAAACTTCGGACACCTAGAAGTTATCTATGAAAACATTTATGGAATGCGCTTCCGGTTTTGCAAGCTGCTGCACCGCTCCCCCCTCCCTTTTTGCTGGCAACTCCAAAAGACCAGAGAAATATTTTATGAGTTGACAAGTCTCTCTCTTACCCCTGGGGCTTGTTAGGGTGGCTTCGGTTGCTTTCCCGCCATCTCCGCAGTGGGTGTCATCGAACGGAAGGCATTGGTCTCCTGTCCCGGCTACCACTTCTGAGTTCTTCACAACGTCCTTGATCACTGTCGTTGACTTGATCTTGAAGATACGACGGCTGCTGGTATCCGAGAGGTAGATGGATCCAGAGGTGGGGTCGGCGGTCAGGTAATATTTATGAGCTGGGCTGTGACTGCAAAATTGAGGGCAGAAAGGACCCCGTTTACCTCTTGCACAACCCCCAAGTCAAGATACTTAATTGTGTATCACAGCACTGCGAAGTCCCCAAAGCCAATGTAATAAGCAAAGATACAGTAGATGGGAGTATCGAAGGGCCGGAGGATTTGAAAATGGCCCTGTTGGCGTTAGCTGGATGCAGCCGATACTAAAATACACCATTCATTTCCACCATGACCCTGGCATTTCCCCCCCCCCACCCACTGGATGTATATTCTCCAATGGGACACATCCATAGCCAAGAGTCATCAATCATGCTCTCCAGTAATATTCTAGCTCTTCAACAACTTTGGGCTTCCAGGGCGATTATTTAGGCACTTAAGGAATGCACTGTTTTTCCCCCACTTCCTTTTTCTGGCACCTAAAAAGACCAAAGGAGTATCTTTTTAGTTGACAACTTGGTTTCTGCACAAGCCAGAGTGAAAGCTGGTTAAAAGGAAACGTGATCTGATCTTGGTGCTCTTTGAGCTTGGTTGTTTCCTTGCAGACGTTTCATTACCCAACAAGGGAACATAATCAATGCTAGTAGGGAGTGGGGATTATGGAGTGGAGGAGGAGGAGAATTGTGGGGTCCTTGGTGCTCTCTGAGCTTGGTGGTTTTCTCTAAGACGTTTCATGACCCAACTAGATTTTATTGACTCTTTCCTAGTATGATTTGATTGCTGATTGTACCCTATGACTATTATTAAGTGTTGTACCTGATGATTCTTGACTCTTGACGAATGTCTCTTTTCTTTTTATGTACACTGAGAGCATTTGCACCAAGACAAATTCCTTGTGTGGCCAATAAAGAATTAATTCTTTCTTTCTTTCTTTCTTTCTTTCTTTCTTTCTTTCTTTCTTTCTTTCTTTCTTTCTTTCTTTCTTTCCTTCCTTCCTTCCTTCCTTCCTTCCTTCTTTCTCTCTCTCTCTCTCTTTCTCTCTCTCTCTCTCTCTCTCTCCATCTACTCCCTCCTAGCACTGATGATGTTAGCTAGTTTGGATAATGAAATGCCTGCAAGAAGACAAACCAGTTTAGAGAGCACCAATGACCCCACAGTCCTCCTTCCTCCTCCATCATTCCAAATTCCCCTCTAGCACTGCTGATGTTACTTAGTTTGGTAGTGAAACATCTTCAAGAAACAACCAAGTTTAGAGAGCACTAAGGACCCCACAATCCTCCTCCTCCTCCTCTCCCTCCTAGCACTGATGATATTACCTACCCTGGATAATGAAATATCTGCAAGAAAATCACCAAGCTCAGAGAGCATAAACGACCCCTCATTTCAACTGCGAGCTACAAATATTCTCCTTTATTGTGGTCTGGAGTGTTCCTTGCCCAAGTGGTATAGCCCCCTTTTTTAAAACAAACACCTGCCAAAAATAATACGCAGCAATGTAAGTGACATGCATGGGGTGAAATGGATGGATGGATGGAAGGAAGGAAGGAAGGAAGGAAGGAAGGAAGGAAGGAAGGAAGGAAGGAATGAATCCCTCTCATGGTGTATAATCAAGCGAGAAGACGCTCAGAAGAGCAAATGAAATGCAGAAAAGGTTTAAAACCCTTAATTCCTTTCCTCTTGCACACACGCATGTAGAGAGTTGTGTATGTGTGTATGAAAGACTAACTCCAGCTCTCTCCCTTTTCACATGTGCAGCCAATGGAGTCTTTATTCTATAACTGGTTCTGTTGGAATGCACCAATATTTCCCTTATCGTTTATTAAATTTGTTTGCCATCCCTCTCGGTGCAAAGCGACTAAATTGAGATAGTCCTCAACTTACGGCCGCTTAGTGACCATCTAAAGTTCTGAGGGATCTTAAGACCAAAGGTTGAGCCCTCCCCACGACCATTACGTGACGTAACATTTCTGCACTCAACACAAGAGACTTGTGCTGGATTACAAAATCTCTTCCCTAACCCATATAGCCTAGACGGTTAACAAGGGGGTATGTGCATAATTTTGCATTTTATTTATTTACTTAGTCGTGTTTATGTATGATATATTAGAGGGGGAGACCCTTTGAAAGCTGTATGCCATAAAATTTCATTTTTAATGTATGCCGATTAGTGTACGTTCAAAATGACAATAAAGTTATTCTGAGTCTAACAACACAGATCGATTGTGAGCCAACCCATCCTGGTCATTGAGGCCTAGTAACTTAGCCAGCCTTATTTGCAAACTCTGCAGTCTTTCTGCTTTAGTTTTAATGCAGTGGTGGCTGGCCTGAAACATGGTGGCAAGTTGAGGAAAAAAAAAAACTGACAGCAGGCTGGAAATGGGCATTTAGGTTTATAGTTTTAATAGATTAGATTATATAAAACGGATGGTGAGTTGCACAAAGTAATTTTCAGATCATTTTCCACCCTGGAAAACCAGCTGCTGTTTTCCTTCAACGGAACTGAAGGTTCTGTAAAAGAATAACAGATTAAAAGAGTTGGAAGGGACCTTAGAGGTCTTCTAGTCCAGCCCCCTACTCAGGCAGGAAACCCTATATCATTTCAGACAAATGGCTGTCCAATCTCTTCTTAGAAAGTCACAAGAAACATCCACAACTTCTGGAGGCAAGTTGTTCCACTATCAATTGTGCTAAATTAATCTAACTGCTCTAAATTAAACTTATTTCGTCTTCTCTCCTTGATTAGTTTCCATCAGTTGCTTCTTGTCTTCAAAGCTGTTTTTGCATGCTTTGGAGAAATAGGTTGACCCCAATTGGAGCAGTCCCTCAAATATTGAGGGACTGCTAATCATGTCACACCTAAACTAGACATACCCAATTCATCTTCTTTTAATGATCCCATAATCGCTTTGGAGCCCATGCAACTGAACGGAGCGGAGTGTTTTACTGGCCGGATGCCCTTCCTCTCGCCAATGAGGAGTTTTGTTCAGAAGATCTATTCCCATCGTGCCCATCTGCCTCTACCTAGGATCGAACTCACAGCCTCCCGATGGTGAGGTGAGAGCTCCACCGCTAGGCCACCGCACCACTCACTAGACATACCCAATTCCAGCAACATATCCAATTCGTCATCAAAACACCTTGATGTCTTGCGACAAACGATTTAATGTAGATATCAAAAAAAAAGGATCCTGAATTAAAAATTTAGTAGGTTTATTGTAGGGTTCAGGGTTAGCAGAGCCAGAGATCAAAACTCGGGAGAGGGGAGGCGTGGCCTCGCGATATAAGCCCTGCCCCTTTCACAGACATAGTTTGTGAGGCTTGTTGCAGATTTCAATCTCAGGGCCTCCTGTTTTTGCATTTCACCTCTTTGCTGCTCGATAAATTGCATTATTAGGGGAGGATAAAAATAAAATAAAATAAATTTGTTTCATATTCCTTCACCCGTTGGCAGCCCAGCAACCTTAAATCACCTTATAACAACAAGAAAAAGTGGGGGGCGAGGAAGAAAAAGTAGAGCATGCAACTTGACAGAGAAAAGGAACCCACAACTGACCATCGGGTGTCTTACCTATGCCTGAAATCTTTATTTCTGACAGAAGAGCAGGAACACAGAAGGCAGAAGAGGAGAAGGAAGGAGGAGAGAGAGAGAGAGAGAGAAAAGGTTAGAAGGTGAACTCCGAGCCCGGCGGTTTAGGCTGGAAAGTCGACAGTAACAACCGCACACTCTCTACAAGGCAGCAATAAATAAAAGAGTTAGCAAACGGATCCTTTTCGAAGAGCAGGAAACTTGTCGTAGACCTATCGCCTCAAGTGATACCTTCCACCGGGGGGGGGGTGGTTGGGAAAATATCATTTGTCCAATGCTGGCTGGTTGAAATAGAATGTAGTTGGGATTGTAGTTATATAAATCCATTGTTGGGTTATTATGTCTTGAGAGAGAGGAGAGAGAGAGAAGCAAGAGAGAGGAGCAGAAAAGAGAGAGAGAGAAAGGAGAGAGAGAGAGAAAAGAGAGTGAGAGAAGAGAGAGAGAAAAGGAGAGGAGAGAGGAGAAGAGTTAAAGGAGCAGAGAAGAGGGGGAGGGAGAGAGGAGAGAGAGAAG